CGCAACGGTGATACTACTGATGGGGGAGGCGTGCGATTAGTATGTTTTCTTCTTGTAAATTCGCTTTGCGTCTCTTAAAAAAGATCTGTTTCGGAATTTGTGGAGTCGCTTTGTAGCACTTGCTTGGATTGGAGCAACAGTCAATAAATATCCAGGAAAGTTCAGGAAGACGCGTTTAAGAGAAGATGGATGTTCATTTTTTAAAATAAGATACACATGAGAGTTTTGCCTCCCTGTCCAATAGTCCCTAAATGGTCAGTCGGCATTTTCTAATAAATAACTCCGCAAGGATGGCCCTCTTCTTTTCGGTGGTAGTTGGGCTGGGATGTGCGGCTGTATAAGCAGTGTCATACTGTGCGTTTGCCAGGATTTTCCGCAAGAAGAGCAAAACCAATATGATATCGCAGGTAGTTTTTGATTTTGTCCGGCCGTGGATCGCTTCAAATGCAATACACGGATCGGGTGCAGTGGATAACGGCCAAACAGGACGTCTGTGGCACGTCTTACTGCCGGTCAAGGCATGCGCTAATACACGCGGTTAGCGCAAACAGAAATATTTCTGTGCAATATGCATACAAAGGATGGAGGGTGTATGCACAACCCCCCCAGCTGAAGATGGAAGAAGCTCACAGACAAATAAAATGTGATTGGGGTGCAACACAGCGGAACCCATGACCAACCTATGGCCATAGATAAGAGTTTCGGCTCCGTGATAACCCATTCGAGGCAACTGGCCCTCATTAGCTTCCCGAGTTTTTCGAAAGTTATGAGAAACCGGGATCAGTAGGATCTTCGACCCTGCTGCAACTTGTTGATGCAGAACGCACAACTGTGCCTCGGGGCACATTCTGAATACTAGCTTCTGGGTGTACACAGAATGGATTGCAGCTGCCGAATCCAGCAATGACGCTTGACACTCGCTGCAAGCGATTAACTTTAGGCCCTTGAGTATCGAGCTGTGGGGCTAGAGTAGGGTCGCACCTTCTGGTTAGTCATTCTCCATGGCAAACTAAAAATTTAGCTAAGCTAGGGGCTTCAAGCTGCCTGACATTTTATTAGTTGCTGCGAGGCGTTCAGTAAAAGCAGACGGAATTCAGACTGGCTGGACTACGTGACAGCAACCCCACAGCCTCTTCACGCATTCTCAGGTGGGTACAATATCGTTGAGCGGCACTCCCCATGGCCTAGAGCCAGCTTGACTGGGCCTTTGATAGATGGCCACTGCCTCGGTGCCACCCAATTCAAGTTAAAGTCTGGGATGATTTTAAGGTATCTATCCCCATCGCTACAATCAACAAGCTGCCACCGGAGAGCGACTCCGCTGCGGATGGGCTGGCGGACTTTTACCGTCATGAAAACCGAGGCCCCCGAAGCTTTCCTATTCGAGGGAGGAAAGAGGGCTGCCAGTAATAACCCCACTGGTTTTCGTAGCTCGACTACGGACGCAGGAGGCAGTAAATAAACTGCAGCATATTTGTTAGGTAGCATTGGATTGTATCCGGGGCCCAAAACAACCGTGTTGACCGGGTTAGCATCCGAATTCCTAAACCTACGACTGGCGACCTCATAAGCTGTAGCCCCAAATAAACTGCAGCATATTTGTTAGGTAGCATTGGATTGTATCCGGGGCCCAAAACAACCGTGTTGACCGGGTTAGCATCCGAATTCCTAAACCTACGACTGGCGACCTCATAAGCACATCTGTAGCCCCTCTAGCCGTGCAACACTGTTCCCTGGCAGAATCTCCAAACCACAACTACTATTACGTAATCCTGGCCCCTATCAAGTTCCGCCCCTCTGGAAACCTACCTACTATATGCCTGGGATCCCTTTTCAGCAACTACCTTCTCCACCACAGCCTCCGCCCCCTCCGAAGCCACGTGCAGCCCCATCGCTACCACCTTCAGCTGCATCTCAACTTCCTACTCCAAACCCCCTTCAACTACAGCCAACGCAGAGGCTTCATGCTCGCTCCCAACGGAGCTCACCTCTCCCAGAGAGTTGGACTATACCACTAACATCCTCACTGCACCCTGTCCCCTCCCCTTACCTTGCATCTCTTACCATAAAGCTCTTATTCCATCTCCTCCAATCATACTAGTTTGGTTACTCGTTCCATCCGCCCCTACGATTCGATTGTGAAGGTTCTACAAAACAGATCCACCCTCCCTCTCAGTGCTCCGGCCTTACACTCTCTTTCCCTGTCACTTAAACACTTCTCCTGCCCTTCCATCCCACGTGACCCAAATCCCGCTGTTTCTGTTGAGCTACCACACACGGTACCACCTCCCGATTGTGTCAATTAAATTTAATCCAAACGATTGCCCGACCCAGCCTGTTACTCTTTGTCCATGGAGCTCTGCTACCTGCCCTGCCACCCAAACGCTGCCTCGGTACCCATCGCGGTACGCCCCAGCATCTTATTCTCACGTATCTTTACCTGGTCCTACTTCGCCTACCAATTCGAGAACCCCAGATTCCCCTGTCTCTACTCCATTCCATACTGACCTCCATGGGCTTGTCAACTTCTTGCTAGCCACATTACCCACCTCCCCCGATCCCACCAGCGGTCGTTCTGTCGTTCTAATTAACACCCGCTCTCTTACCTAATTTGCACTACATCCAAGCTATCTCCACTATAGCTCGTCCAAACTTCATATCACAGAGACGTGGCTCTATCCTAGCACGCCTGATGCCCTTACCTTTCTTCCGGGACACACCATCTTCCGTTCTGCTCGTTCCCACTGCCATGAAGGTGGATGCCTCATATACGCCAGAGCTGAAGTGGAAGTCTCCACCATTGGCAATCCACTACTGGCGGACACTTTCTGCCTGACGGGCTAATCCGCCGTTCATCCTCGGGTGTTTTTACATGCTCCAACCGCACTCCATTAGCTCGATTAATCGTCTATCTACGCTTTTTTCTCACACTCAAGCTCTATTTCATTCAAACAAACTAATTGTTGGGAATCTCAATCTCCCTGAGATTGCCTGGTCTCAACAAAACGCCCCCTTGAGCCTTTCGCCTTTGCTTGCTCAACTTAATGTCGAAGGCTGGTCCCAGCTTGTAAGGCAACCAACCCGCGGTGTCCACACCTTGGACGCTGCCTTGTCAACGGCTATCTGTGTCCCTCCACTGCAGTTGGTCCGATGTTTCCTGACAGCGACCATTGTATGGTAACTTGCAGCTGGACGAGTACTCTGCCTTCAGCTACTCTTCCTCCCCTAAACTCTTCCACCCTTTCTTGAAGCCTTTGCAATCTCATTGCGCCATAAGACCTGGGACGAGTTTTTCCTCTCTGGTGGCGCGCAAAACGTGGCTAACACTTTTACGGTAACTTACTATCATCATTACATCTAGTTACTCCCACAAGAGCTTCCTGTGCTTCTGGTTGTCATCCAGCCACAAGATAACCCGCTACACGCCATAAACTTAGGAAGTATCGTGGGCTCTCCCCTGAATCCCATGAGCTCTCCCTCTTCATTGTAATCAAAAAATTTATGATTGATATTGCCACGGCCAAACTCGCCTTTGAAAAGCGTGAGGAATCAACCGCTGTAGCCCATTTTCCACAGCCTAAGATGCTAGGGCACCTCTTTCACCGGCGTTGCTTCTCAACTTCATCCGCAGTTTCAAATATTGCGGCCGCTGACGGAAAACCTCTCTCTGACCCTGCTGACATTGTGGAATTCCTAAACTCCTACTTCGCTAGATGCTATGCTCCCTATCCATCGACTCTATCTACTTATTGCTCCCCACTTGGCCGTGAAGTGACCACATCTGCTAAAGAGACAAGCCCTAACCTCTGCACACTCTCTGTTACTTTGTCTGACGTGACTTCATCTCTCGCCCGCCTTAGAGAGTCCAGTTTCCCAGACACTGACGGCATCAATTCGTTTATCTTAAAAGCCGGTGGCCCGGACCTCGCCACCCTCATCCTTAAACTCTTCAATATCTCCCTCATCACTGGCACAGTCCCTAGTCAGTGGAAGCACTCTATGATTGTCCCACACTACTGTTCTAGCCAGCTATCGTGGCATATACCATACCTGCTTACTCCGTCGTACCCTAGAGCGCCTCATCAAAGTCCCTGTCATCGACTACTTGCTCGCCACCAAAACCCTTAGCAATCGGTAGTATGGGTTTATGGCACGGCGGTCAGCTAACACATGCCAGGTTGATTTCTTCAATCATATTTCGTCCGCCTGCGATACCGGACTGTGTATTATCTTTATTTACCTTGATATTCGCAAGACATTCGACCAAGTTCCCCACGGTGCACTCCTCAACAAATTACGAGCTACGGGGATTGGTGGCCCACTACTGCGATTGTTCGCTTCTTACCTCAGTGGTAGAACCCAGGCCACCAAAATCGGGGATCTGCTCCTCAGCCCCCCCATTACCAGTGGAGTTATTCAGGGTAGTGTGCTTGGCCCTCTACTGTGATTACTATACGTTAATAACGTCACCGACTCAATCACCCGTGGATCCCCTTTTCTGTTTGCTGATGACAGTAAGATAGCTGACACGCCAGTGATTCCGCTTCTACTCTTGCTAACATTCAGTCTGACTTGAATTGTTTATCACTCCGGTCTTCCAACTCCTGTCTTTCTTTCGCTATTCCAAAATACCAAGCTCTGTCCTATCGATTCCACGTTCCTCCTGGGACGCTCACTATTAACGGACTCTCCATTCCTGTACATTGAGCTTCAATCAACATGTAAGGTTGGTTTTACTGGCCTAGCTTTCTCCCCGACCGGATAAAATATCTGGTAGCTGGAGTAAGTTGTTAATGCACAAACCGCACTTATGACTGCTTGGATGGTTTTCCATCTTGCAGATCTGGTAGCATGCACGAGGGATTTAAACCTCGTGTGGTGGATGGGTACGCCCTGCAGGGAGGGTCGCCCGGTTACGTTGTACCATGGTGCGTTCGTATACTCGCCACCCCTCCAGTAGCACGGGTGCATCTCCCATCGCCGATGGTTCAGCCTGGCCTTTAATTCAGGAAAACCAAAAAAGAGCAGCGTTGCTGTTTGCCTGTAGCTGGATTGGCCTTGTTCCGGCCGTCACTTGTCCCACAACACCAAGAAGAAAGCGGACGACAGCAGTCCTCCCGTTTATTCTAAAGGAAGTAATAAAAAAAGAATATTAAAAACCATCCATGCATGAGGTAGCCTGAGAGTACTTGTGAGGCTCGCGGGTAACGTCGACGTGCAAGGTGTTGCCACTTCCGTCTTAGTGGGGTCACACCAACCCTAGTCCACTTCATCATCTAAACATAGCACACACGTACTTCCCTCTTGTCATCTAGAGCGATCATATGCGCAAAATGATAATAACATGATTTCCTGATCACAAACAGTCACAGCTAGCGCCTAATGGCTGTTTTTTGCCATGCACCATTCGTTTTCTGGAGTTGGCAGCATTGACTCAGCGACAAATGATCCTTAATCTTACTTTTCTGTTAGGTTGATGTAGTACAACTCAGTAAAGCTACGATTCTTATCAATTAGCTGGGAAGCTGTTGCTTGTCTGCTTTTTACTTGTCCATCGTCACTGCCCACACTAGCCCCTCCTTCTGCACCACAAGGGCCAGACGTCATGACGCTTTGGTGAGCAAAAATACCGTCCGTTCTCAACTAGTCCAACAGCTAGCCCCCCTGCTAGCTACCTCGACGTCAAAGTTTTAACCTTCCGGAAACTAGGCACCTATTCTGGCCCAATTAGTACATGGCTTCTAGATCAGGAAACGCGTTCACCTTTCTTGGGTCCATTTAGCTCGCTGTCATCCCTTTTTAGATTTTTTTCTATCGACGCCGTTGTATCTCATGTCTCCTAACACCGCCATGCGCTACTGCTTTCATTCTATTTCTTTCTGGTCGCCCCTCTTCCAGGCCTCGATCATCGACTGCAGTTTCCCAAACGCCCCTTAGAACTGTTGTTCATTCAATCAGGCTGGTGCCCGGTCTACACTCACACGTCCTCCAACAAGAGGGAAATTATCCGTGAGCCTATATCTGCATGACTCCCTGTGCCAATCTCCGTCTCACTCAGCACCTGCTGCCACGGAAATGCGAATCCCTTCCCCGACCCTTGATGACCGTTACGTGGCTGTCCATAAACCATAGCATGTCAGTGCGATGATAGTATGGCACTGTCATACCCAGTGTGATGGCAGTCCCGCAACTATTATCTCCAGAATCTCGACCGCAACCCCCCCCCCCACTCAAGCCTGTAGCCACAAGTTGGAGCAGTTCTCATCCGGTCCCATCTATGGGACGAGCTCCCCCCTACCCAATGAATTTTCGCTCAGATTTGGCTAGCCTGGCTTTTCTGCTGCAATTTCGGCTTGCCTCTTGCACAAGTTCAAATCCGTATACGGAGTTCGGGTCGCCCTATATATTAGCAACTTGCCCTCATTTAACCTATTCCCCTGCATCTGACTTCCCTACAACAGTGCAACCAGCGAGTCTGCTTACTCTCAGATTAAACCACATTTTTGACACAAAACTTGTCATTTGAATTATCACATCCCCATCTCCACTTTTGCTCGCTGTGACTCGGGCTATTCACCCAACCACCCAAGGTCACCCATGGCAAGCGATGGTTTTCAGTTTTGGTTCATGCAACCTGGCTGTCTTTGAACTAGTCGGACCTCATGCTTATTGTTCTCAACAAGTTGGGAAATAACCTATTATTATTATATCATCGGGTATTCCCCACTGTTTGTGACATTGTCTCCTTTTTGTGCAGTCCGCACACCCCACAAATTCCCAGTCATGCTCACTTCTGTAAAACTATGATCATGCCAGACGGTATGCCACCCACAAGTTGGGAATAAACATAATAATAATAATAATTGTTATGAACAAAGAGTGGTCACGCCACATGAATCATAACATGTGCACCCATGTGCAGGCTGCGACGACCACCACTACTGCTGGAGTGACCGGGAGTGGTGCTTGAGACTTGAAAGGAGTTGACCAGCATAGATGGGGGATTAGCGCAAACTAATCAGTGGACTCGCCTGGAGGAGAGTAACTAGAGTGGACAATGCTGATGCACCCTATGGATAGCCGAGCAGTAATCATATGAACCATCCTGCGAGTACGGGGCATCCCAGAAGCCTTGAGTAATAAATCCATAGATTTCAAGGTTATGAGGTATATGGAGTTTTACTTTGCCTATGATATCAAGAACGGCTGTGACTCATCAAATGGTAAGAAAGTGGATAGCGTCAGCTAGAAGTTGAGCCGCTTTTGATCCTTACGGGACCGTCTTATAGTGACTTTTGGCACCTAATATTCACTAGGACGGCATCGCTGATTTTGATGCAGATCGCTGTCCAGAATGGTCAAGAAGCTACAGGAAGAACCGAGGTAGGCTCGCACACAGTACCCAATAGTTTCGGTATCAAAATATAGAAAGTATCAATGTTTGCAACCAACCAATCATGGAAACTCTTTAAGCAATGGACAAAACACTGCCCCAGATGCTGAAGATCGGCTGTCTGAAGAGTATGCCAAGTGTAGATAGTACACGGGCGCAGTGCCACTGAAACAGCTATATGGTTACACGATATACTGATGCAGTCCGATTAGTTCAACGAATGTGGCGAGCACAAGTATCGAACACCAGAGTGGTCTTTTTGGCGCACTAACTCCGATAGCTGATCGAATTTTGAAGGAAATATAATGCGTAAAACCACCACCCCACCGAATACTTGGAAACGGGCAGGCTGGACGAGGAACAGGCCCTTCAAAGCCCCGTCAGAGATGTTAGGAAAGAGGCATCCCCAGCTAGTAAGGGGATGGATCACGGCTGTGCATTTCGGAGTACAAGAGTTTGGTTGATAAGCGCATCGATCGGACATAATTTCAATCAATCAATCTTGTTTTACGCAGATTTCCACATTATTGCCGTGTCGAAAATCTGCTGTTAGCGTCCCCCAGATGGCAATGGTAACCCAACGATAAAATATAGCAAAAAATTCCTCGAAATGAAAGATAATGCCAAAAAACCGTTATGACGAAAAGACATCTAGCGCAACCGTCAATACTGGGGAGAATGTTTGGTCACGAGGCAATATAATTGGTCAGCAATTACCAGTTACTTTCAAACAATGTTGCACGTAGTGGGAATAATATTACTGGGAGTAAACCACATTGTAAGAGGCCTCATTGGTCACCTGAACAACGTTACAGTTGTCAGTTTCATCCTGTTGAACCCCGAAATATGGTGCTGAAACAGGACTACAATTTGAGTACAGTCTACGTGTATCTAAACACACGGGACGGCAAATTATTGGAAAATCGAAGAGAAAGCGCTGCACTCTGAATATCAAGCCTTGTGGTCATCAAAATGCTGAAGCCGTCAGAAGAACTGGGAAACCCCTCGAATGGCCAGTGCTAGCCCGCGCCTATCATTTTCCTATACTCTTAAGGGCCGTTACGTTCTATCAAGTGCTTCCGTATTTTGCACGACCAAAATGTTATCGTTACGTTAAAATAAAATTGAGGAAGGTCTGCGCAGATGTCATCAATTCACATATTCACGAGTGCAATTGGACTGTTCCTCTGAAACGGAATCGTCTCCACGAGGCCTGATAAGTGAAAACCAACCTAGGCATGCGTGTAGACTTGAAGGCGCGTTGTTTGAAGGTTTCACATATTTTCGTGGTACGTTTTTTTACTTTAGTGAAATTATTGGACGTAGACCAACTGTAGGACTTACCCTACGATTTCTTCCAGGTTTTTCGACAAAACGACAACATTCGTTTTTTTCGATGAGTGCAAGAAGTAGTCATTATCTTGGCTGGTTTCCATCAACAGGGACTTCTGATGAGCGTATGTAAATCCCCAATTCCAGATGACTAGATATCTCATGTAGACTCAGAACCATAGGGCGGCTTAAAGTGAAAGAAGTTACGGGTCACAGTGAATTAGTTTTTGGGAGTAGGGGGTTTACGAAATATTACACATATTACACACATATATGCTACATGGATAGAGGTTGCTATATGTATAGAGTTTGTATATATATATATATATATACATATATATGTATATTGCATATACGAGTATGAATATCTATGTAGCTAACTTGATAAAACCATGAAATTTCTGTTGGAGGGCAGAGAGTAGACAACAAATTCACGACTGCAAAGATAACGTTTAGAAATTAGGAGACTTTGTCCATCTCTGATTGAGAAGGATAAAGCAGTGAAGAAAGCACAGCATATTCATGAAATCCCATTTGAAAAAGGAGAAATGTGTCTAGTAACCTGACGTAAACCGCTGGCCGCGTTGTAGCAATATATATATATATATATATATATATATATATATATATGCGCTATAGTAGATAAATCAACTTGAAGCAGGGTTTCGAAGATCCACACATAAGAATAAGTGCCTAGGATGGAACGGAAGTAAGAGGAACAACATTGCTTACTGTAATAAGTTACTGAGTGTGGGTACGGAGTTCTTAACTCTTCGCTGGACGTTCCACAGCGTATTCTCATAAAAAACCCTAACAAGAAAATCCGGAGTTCTGTGTATAAACGGATAGGCTTGCACTGTGGTTTGATAGAATTTCGCTGGTCTCTGAAAGACGATGCCAGATGAAGGAAATCAACCAGTCGAATATTTCTTTTCAAGGGTTAAAGGCAGCAAGCGTGTCAGGAATTCGGGGATTTTCTGAGGTCTTTTTAACAATCAACAGGGAGCTTGGTTTGGGTTTCAGATAGTAACGCTCAACCGAGACCTAAGTGTTGTATCTTGTTGAAAGACATGTGTGCTGTTATGTAAAGGTTCATGGTTGATATGGAATTAGTGGTAGCGGGCGTCATCCGCCAGTTTGAGGGAATGTGGACCTCTATACCATAATCACACGTCTTCCGCGAACAGTGGCCACTTAATTAGGAAAAAGCGCAGTCGTGAGTCCGTTATTTAGAACGACAAATGATATGGACACAGCGTCCGGTCCCTTGTAGACCACACTAGTGGCACGGAACTGAAAAGGTCTGTACTCCAGAAGTACACGTGTGCACGAATGTGGCTAATCAGCTGGATATCGATCAAACACAGGGCGACCCAGGATTGGCAAGCCGGGTTGACCGGT